ATGTGTTTGAGTTAAGGTTCAAGGCCTGGCAGTATCCAAATTATTGCCTAGGTCCAAACCTGATCCTCAATGGATCCTAACTCCCAATTTTGGCTGACAGGCTGGTCAGGGGTGTGCCAACACTCTTAAATTGCTGGGCGTGACCACCAGCCTGCCATGGCCTTCCCTAATCCCCCTCTATGCACATACACTTACTCTTAGATTCTAAGTTTTGTCCCCCTCTTATGAGCCATGCTTTGGGACCCTGAGTTCCCTCTGAACTTGGACATTTGAGGGCTGGCTCTTCCACACTTCACTATAATCTAATTCTGCAATGTGTTTGGGATGTAAGCACTGCCCTGAGTCCCTTTGAGACTCTTGGGAACTTCGACACATCCCAAATAAGAGAAAGACTTTTGGAAAACGGATCATGGAAGTTGGTTTATCTTATATTGCTAGACCTTGAGTCTGAATTAGGCTGTTTGGTTGCAGCTGGAAGTTCTGATGTATTTTTTTTTTGATTCATTCGGGTCTGTAATAATTTGTAATAACTGTGGGTCTCTAGTGAAAAAGGGGAGGGTCATTTATGTATGCATATGGGCAGACAACATGCTCATAGGGATTACTATTTACAAATTCTGCATTTATGCATATCATATAGTACTCCTACCTATAAGTCGTCTCATTATTACATTATAAACCATGCCTATATGTTTCTGCATATAGAAATCATGTATAAGTTTATGCACTTATGCATTTAGAAATCCTGCCTATAAGTTATGCATTACACGTAGAAATCTTTCCTATAAGTTGTTTCATTACTGTATTAGAAATCTTGCCTATAAGTTTCTGCATATAGAAATCATGACTATAGTTTTGTTTTTGCATTTCTGCATATTCATCTGTCATTAGGAAAACAATCATAGGTTAAATAATAATCAACTTCATTCTAGATACCATGCCTATAGGGCTCCTGCACTTACATAATCGTTTTAAAATCAATAAGGCTTAGAAAAATCATGCCTATAGGAGCAGCCGTCTGAATCTGATTCGTCTATTTTATCTATAAGTCTAAAATCAGTAGTAATGTTTATTTAATATCTACAGAATTTAATTGGTTCTAAAATTAGTAACCCTTATTTAAAATCAGTATACTTACATCTAGGCAAGCAGTAGGTAATTGTTTAACTGTGTAAGTTTTAATAAATTGCAACCAGACAAGGCCTAATTCGGACTCCTCATCTGAGAAATATGTGATGAAGCAGCATGTCCTAACGCTTTAAATTTAATTCAGACTATAACCAGTATTTGAAGTCATGCTAAATAATTTGCTCCTTTAAGTGAGGAGGCCTATTTGATCCCTTAAACTGCTATTTGTTTCCCCCTACTTGCTTCTGTGTTTTGTTTGTCGCATTAGAATTTTGTCCTTTTAAACTCTGAAAAGCCCCAACCTTCCTCCCTTTAGGACTAGTAGTCCCAAATGCCTTTGGGACTGATAGGATCGGGACGGGTAATAGCATGCAATAAGTAACGACACTATTCCACGTTTAATACCTTAACGGGGTGGGAAAGGGTAGATATGGACATGATGACCGGTGCGCTAATACCACGTGCAACCCCTCTTCTGAGGAGTGATTGCCGGGTATTGCATTGATGTGATCCATATTGTTTGTAAACCTAGGACCCCTTCCCCTTTACTTGTTATCCCTTTTAACTGTCCAAACTATTTGCTTAAGATTTCTGTTTTCTTTATCTTTCTTCAAACTTTTAATTCACTTGCGTCATTATGTGTAAATCCCCTTCTATTTGAGACCTTTATTTGCTTACTTGTTAGTTAAAGTCACAATTGTAACATGGCCGGGAACCACACTAGTATATCTTGGGGGGTGCCTAACACCTTCCCCTCGAGATAATTTCTAGCCCTTACCCGAACTCTGGTTTTCCAACTCGAACTCTTCTTTAGTTTCCTAATGCACTTTAATCATTAGGTGGCGACTCTTCCACCCAAAATACCCAATTCCCAAGAGGGAACGAGTTGTCCTCCAAATGTCATGAACCCGATTTTGCCTTTAGATAAAGGGGGCACGACATGTGGAAGATTCGAAATTGTAGCTTATGATTTGTAGTTACGAGGTGTGGTGTCTCGAGGTAAAACTTGTTGTAAATCATGCATTGGGAACGATTTAATTACTTGAATTGTCATTTGTTTCCTTATTTGAGTTCATTTATATCTCATCTCTGTTTTGATTACGTTGCTGTTTTATTACCTTTTTATTTCTTGTTGCTATTTGGGTTTCTATTATTCCATTGTGGGTTTTATATTAATAATCTTTTCGTTCTTAGCCATGCATTGATATTTTTTCCATTGCTAGTTTTATGTTAATATCTTTCATAGGTTTTATGTTTAGTGAGTGTCTCGATTTACCCCGTCACTACTCCACCGAGGTTAGCCTCAATACTTACTGGGTCGCTATGGTGTACTCATGTTATGCTTCTATACATTTTTGTATAGATCTAGGTACTTCTGATCATGTTGGTTTTTAGAGTTGTTTCGGTGCGACTGGAGACTTCAAGGTATACCTGCTTGATATTTGTAGGCCTCGGAGTCACCTTCGAATATTACCTTTTACTATAGTCTATCTTTATTTTTAAACAGCATTATACTTAGATATTCTAGTGTATTTCAGTATAGCTTTTGACTCCGTACTATCGGTTTTGGAAAATGTACAACTATTGGTCATTTTCAGCTATGTATGTTATTTATTGGTTTATGTTTAATTATTAAATAGTTTAAATTTGTTATTAACTCGGCATGTGTTAGACATAGTCGTAGGGACTAATTGCCATCACGACATCCTAAGGTGGGAGTTTGGGGTCGTGACAAATTGGTATCAAAGCTCTAGGTTCATAGGTGTTATGAGTCATAAGCAACTTTAATAAAGTCTTGCGGATCGGTACGGAAACGTTTGTACTTATCTTCGAGAGGCTGTAGAACTATTAGGAAGTTCCACTTATTTCATTCTTTATCGTGCGTCATTGATTCAGCTTGAAGAACATATCTTACATTCCCTTGCATTCACTAGAATACGATATTGCTAACTCAATATCAACTATGCACCGATGGTTTGTGATGTTGCGGATGGGCTACGAGGCGGCCATGGATTATTGATAGATCTTTCAGTTGTTTATGTGAGGGGTGCAATGGATTCTGGTATCTGGTTGGTGAGTACGAGTTTTGGAAGAGTTAGTTGGTTACCTAGTCGTCATGATCGTGGTAGGGTCATGAGATTATGTTAATTTGAGGATAATAGGTGGTATTCGAGACTATGTGTTTTGTATGTGACTTCTACTCAGTGAAGGGTACATATTGTCATTCAAGGCACTTAAGGAATGGGCTTGACTGTCACGAGAATAGACATACGCTTAGTAGATGATTTGATCTGTCTTATGATTGGTGTTTTACGAGCTATGAAGGTTGGTATTGTAGATCATCGTATGTTATGTCCTATGGCTTCGCGTCAAGTGGGGGAGTCTACTATTGATGATTAGATTACATGGTCATGTGTTATACTAGTTTTGGTCTGAGGTATATATGTGGTATTAAAGGGTTTCCCGAAATTGTATATAGCTTAAGTCTGAGATTTGCATGCGATAGTGCTGGAACTTGCGGTATATATGTAGTATTAAATATATATTTTAGTATCAGAGAGGTTAGAGAAACAACTTCAGATTCACAGTAGGTCTCTTTAGAGTGGGTATCTCGGTTGCAGCATTATTGGGTGCTTAAGAGGAAATATAGCGATTTATGGGCTTTTGGATGACGTGGTTCATGCTAGGATCTCCTGTGGTGAGCTTTGGTGTAGGAAAATTATGTACCAACAAGGGGAGTTGTTAACCTGAAGACAAGTCGAGGAGGATTCTAAGAAATGGGTTAGCTCGTTAGTGTTGGGTTATGATAGAAACGAAGGTAATTGGTTCTTTTAGTGTGTAATGCTTTACCGTCAATTTGTAGAAGTATTGGGTCGACGGATTACGTCTTGGTTGAGCTAGGGAAATTCAGTTCTGATGGCTTGGTTATGTCTGGACATGTCTCAAAGAGTTCTTGATAGTGTCGACCACGGCTTGAGCCAGATATCTGCTATCAACATAAGGAACATGTTACATGTTATGATTTTTGCCTGGATGGGGTCACGTGTTCTAGAATGCTAGCATTTTTTATACCACCTGAGAAGGGTGCGCACACCAGAAGGTGCACTGTGTTTCGACTTGCAGATACCTGACTGGTATTATGGTAATCGTCAGGATGATTGACCGTTGATGTTCAGATTTTGCTATGTGGCACGGAAGAATTATGGAAGTACTTCTCGTGGGATGATCGTGTGTGAGGAACATGTCAGTCATTTGAGTAGTGTAGTTGGTATTGTGAGCACGTGATTTTTTCCGTATATGAATTATTCCCATAAATTCAAACAAAATAAATCTTTCCCATTATTTGTAATTTCGTGGATTTTTGTAGCATTTTTTGTTAATTGCTTGCATTTGTCTATGCACATTTATTTTATTTAAATCATGAAAAATACCAAAAATATCACGCATGGCATTTAGGCTTTATTTTGTACATTTTTAGGATTAATCGGTAGTTACTTCTTTTTATAAAAAAAAATAAAAATCACAAAAAATGCTTCATTTTTTACACTTTTATTGATTTTTTCTCTTTTAATTTATGATTAAGTATTGTTTATAGTTTTTACAATTAGCTAATTATTTTAATTTCACACTTATGGATAATTTAGGATTTTTAATTTTTAGGATTTTAATTAATTGGATTTTAAAATCAAAGAAAAGAAAAAGAAAACAAATAAAGGTACAAGGGCCATTATGTAGCTCAAAATCGGACTGGGCCAGCTTGAAACAACCTATCTGATTTAAATCCCTAGTCCATTTTAAAGGCCCAGACCATTGACCCATTAACCCTTTTTCCCTCTTTATACCCTAAATCCCTCACATTAAATAGGGGGAGATAAAAAATCCATTAGAGGAATAGACATTTCCCCTAGAGAGAACAATGGTGCTAGCTTCTTCTTCTTCTTCTACACATAAACACACACACTCAAAAATGCACAAAAAGGAGAGGAAAAGAACGAGAAGATAGGGAAGGGAGAAATAGGGGCTCTGATCGCTCACTCATTCTCATTTTGTTTTTTTTTGAGAGGAAAAACGACATCCACCTCTGATCTTCATTTCTTGAGCAATCAAAGTTGTTTTTGAGCTTTCCGGCGTCGGCACCGGAGTTTTGTCATCTTCGACTAGCTATCTCTTACCACAAAACGCAGCAACTTTACCTTCGTTCACTGCTACCATTCTCATGAGTTGAATTTCAGTACGTCAAGTTAATTTCTAGGATCCAAGGGAACTTATAACTCGAGACCAAAGCTGTGTATTGATTTCTGCTGTTGAATCGACTATTTGGTGGCTGAACTCAGACCATTATTTTGGTCCGTTTCTTTGCGGTTGTCCTACTTTTAGGTATGTACATCTTTGAAGCTGTAATTCCTTGTTAGGATTAAATAAAACTGAGTTGTTATGTTTGTTTATAGTTGGCTTTATAGATTCAGCATGTTTTAGGTCTCAAAGTTACTCGAAATCTTTCTTCTGTTGATCCTTGGTATTACTGTGTATTTGAATTAAAACTCGAATTGTTGAGGCCTGATTGTTTGTTGGTTAGTTAGTCGTTTTCTGCTCCTTCAAATTTTTTTGTTTGATTATGTTTTAATATGGTTATGAATCTGATTAGTATTAGATAGGCATGGAGTGTAAATAGGCACAAAAATGATTTTTGATATAGATAGCCTTCCCATTTAGCACGTGACTTTGTATAGAAATATGACTTCTGCTAAGGCCGTTATTCTGTTAAGTTAATTTCCTTCTGCTTAGCTAAATCACCTTGATTTCCTTCTGCTTAGCTAAATCATCTAGACTAGCAATTCGAACAAATTTAGTAATGAGTTACTTTTGGGGATTAACTAATTGCCTAGTCTTGGAATGTTTCGACTTCCTCCAAAGCTGAAATTCAAGGAACAACAATGCTTCACATAATAGTTAGTAACTTATCAATTTCTTCAAATTAGCCCATAATCCTTGGCTTTGCAATAATCTTAAATTAGCTTTAGAAAAATAATTATGAACATCCGTAGTTTTCTTTAGTTGAGTACATTCCTTTGAAATTAGAATCGAGGTGTGCCATTAGTTGAATTTTCCATGGCCCTCGCAAACTTGAAAGTGCGTAGATGCTTTAGGCGCGCTATTTAAAATTACTTCCCTAAACTTGGGTGTGCATTTATGTGACCCAAATCCAAATCTCAACAACGTTAGATGAAATGTGTCGTAGACCGTGGGTGCATTTATGTGACGTGGTTCAAGACATGTTTTATATGACGTTGAATCTTTCCTAAAAAGTGATAATTGAAAAAAAATGGGTATAAGAGTTAAAATTGTACCATAGGTTAAAACATGTATTAAAATCAGATAATAGGACAATTATAACAGTTGAGCGACCGTGCTAGAACCACAGAACTCGGGAATGCCTAACACCTTCTCCCGGGTTAACAGAATTCCTCACCCGGATTTTCTGTGTTCGCGGACTGTAAAATAGAGTCAATCTTTCCTCGATTCGGAATTTGAACCAGTGACTTGGGACACCATAAATTATCCCAAGTGGCGACTCTAAATTTTTAATAAAATAATCCCGTTTTCGATTATCACTTAAATTGGAAAAAACTCCCTTATACTCCCTTCCGGGGTATAGCGAAAAAGAAGGTGTGACAACTCTGACGACTCTGCTGGGGAACAAACCCAGAACTTCTGGTTCAAGGTTCAAAATTCGAGCTTAGATGAATTGTTATATTTGGCTTTATTTATTATATGATTTTATTACATGTTTGGGCCTAATGTGCTAAATGTTGCTTTTACCGCTTTGATATTATTTGAACTATATATAAACTACTACGAAACCTCTCTCTTCTCTCTCCCGAGGAGCGCACGCTGGTTGTGACTTCTTTCTGTTAGTGTCATATCCCAAATTGAACGAGGTTCGGACAAGTTGCAAAGCCGGATGATCTTTTGGTTACTGGTACGCAGCCCCCCCCCNGATACGCTGCCCCTTCCCTCCCCCGGCTCGAGTTGTCCGCTTGGGTAAACCAGATCTAGAACAATACACCTAGGTTTTAAACCTAGTATAACTCAGCCTTATGTCAGATCCCTAGTAGGAACACTTATCTGCATCATGTGCATTTGACTTTGGAGACTCAATACAGGGGTTGGGTCTGTCTAGGACAGGTATATCCAAAAAATAAAAGACCATCCTGATGCATCCTATGTGCTACATGTTGAATTTCTCCAAAGGATAAAAAGGTCATTTGGTGGACCAATGCTAGTTGAGGGCAAATGGAAAAGAAAAAGAGAGAAAAAAAAAGATGGGGTTAAGCGTGAAAATAAAGCAAGTATGACCTAGTTATGTTTTTTGTTACATTTTATTAAGAAAAAGACAAAAAAACATGAAAAATTCAAAAAGATTTTGCACTTTTTTTTAATCATTTTTCAAAAATCAAAATAAAAAAAATGAAAAAGCAAATCGCAAAAAGATTTTGCATGTTTCATCATTTTCAAGGAAAAGAAAAAAAAATATATTTTCTCTAAATTAGTTATTTTTTTAATTCTCGCCCGTATCCAATCTGCCCGAACTACGCATACCTGATTCTCGTCTTTCGGGGCGTGATACGTAGGCAACCCACATAGGGTCCGGCCTTCCTAGTGAATTTAGGTTCTTGGCTTCGCGGGGTCTTAGCCAAATCTTGCACTTCTAGCCACTTTTAGCCACATAGGTTAGTTTTAGAAAATAGTCATAATCATGTCTTGCATGTGTCCAACAGGAAGGGATATCGTCTCACATACCGTTCTGGGTCTTTAACTTTATGAGTTATTCGTGGGGCAATGTTTGAAAGTAAATCCTGCATTGAACACCAATTATCTTTGTGCTAAGACTGCAAAATTCCGAAGCTTGTCTTGTTGAAGTTTGCCCCTATTCGTGGAGAAGTTTTTCGAGTAAATTGATAGTTGAAATTCTCCTAATTTGAACTTGTTATCACCGATTTCTAATAGTTGTTGTTGTCGTTGAGTTTAATAGAGGGGATTCAGTTGGACTAGAGATTGAGCATGCATGAATTGTGATTTGGTTGAGCATACATTAAGCTAAATTTGCCGAAATTTGTGTTAGTTAAGATTGTGCTTGAGTTCAACAGTGATAGTTGAAATTTGGTTTTTACTTCTAAAATGTTCTTCTTGTTGAATTGAGTGCTTTTGTTACATAAACTAGTGTCCAGTTGGTTAGAATATGCTGATAGAAGTTGAAGGTTTGCTGGGCAATAATTTGCTGTTTGTTTCCTGTTGCTGTAAAGGATTTTGTGCTTGCTGCCCACAGTCTATATTGTTCAGTTTTTGCTTAATAGTGAAGATTTCTGCATTTCCTTTGTAGATTGATGTTACTGTAGTTTTTCTGAACAGTTGAGGGAATTTTGCAAAAGTTTTAGCTTCAATTAACTCAACTGCATTGCTTCAGTTTATATGCCAACAATACACTACTGAAATTCAAGTTTTGAACAGTCTTTTGAAAGCAAATTTTGCACTATTCAGCTGCACTTTGTGGTTATTATAATTCAATGCTGTTGTGATTCCAATACTTTGTTTCTACTGTTGAGGTTGTCATTCTGAGCTGGAAATTTCTGTGTCTACTGATGCTGAATTTAGCCCTCAAGGTGTTGCTGAAGTTATGAGTTTTGAGCAGCAATTGAATAACAAACCTACACCAGCTTGTTCGAGTCTTAGAATTCTGCATTTAATTGAAATTTGTTGATGTAATACAAGTTCCCTAGGCACTATTTTTATTTTTCTGCAACATTTTGTGAACCTGAAATTGGGTTTGGACATTAGAGCTTGTTTGAAGAATTTTGAACTCAAATAGGAGTGTTTTGGACTGCTATTGGAAGATGTTGAAACAGCCTTAAAACTCTGCAGTTTTGTGTCCAGTTAAGCTGCTGAAAATTCTGCAGTAGCTTAGTAAAGTTTGAGCAACAGTTTGGGTTGTGAATTGACCAGCTCTAAGCTGCAGTTGTAAAGGGTCAATTACTGCCAACTTGTACCAATTTTCTATCTATTCTTCCTTTGTTTGGATTGCTGAAAATCTTCAATTTTGTGATAACATTTGAGCTGCACATTCTTGGGAATAGAATCTGAGAATTGGTGTGCATTGAGGGTCGATCAGTACTTGCATAGATAAAGTGTCTGTTGCATTTCCTGCCCAGTTCTGCCTCAGCTATACACAAAGTTCAATAGGTACAGAACCTGCCTGGTTTTAGAAGCTTTACACCAACTTAGTTCCCAGAAACACTGTAGAACATTCAACTGAACTATTGCTTCTGAAATCCTGAACTAAAAGAGGGACTCAGCTTCAGCTAAAAAATTTTTGACAACAAACTTCCTGCAGCAACTTGATTGCAAATCCGGCCAGTTTTGCAAAAAATAACCTCTTTTTACAAATATGACCACAAATTTCAAAAGTGTCTAGTTTTGTAGTTTCTTTTCTTTTCTTTCTTTCCAATTTGTAGTGAACTAAACTCTCAACTAGATTAACTTGATATTAGTTCATATTGAGTTTAATTCTTAAAAAAAGGGGAAAAAAGAAAATGAGAATGTTAGTTTGCTTACTTTATTTTTGTTCTTCCTGAACTACGCAAAGATCTGATTCATGCGGCATCATGATACGTAGGCAACCTAAATAGGGTTCGATCGGATCATTTTTTAATTAAAGAAAAAAAATAAAAAAAAGATAAACAAAAAAAAAAGAAAAAGAAAAAGAAAAGAAAAAAAGAGAGATGAAATCATGGGATGTGAGAAATGAGAGGGAAGAAAAGAGCGATAATCAGAAAGAAAAAGGAGAAGGAAAATGAGCAAGCTAAGAAGTGCGAGGAAAGAAAAGAAAAGAGAAGATTGGAATGGACAAATTAGGATGATGCCAAGTGACCTTATGACCCTCAAAGTCGTTCTAAGAACCATTAATTGTTGCTAGGTGCATTGCACGCAATGTGATATTTCGTTGTTAAATGCCCTAACGCTAATTGGATGACTCCCTTTTGTTCCTTTTGATATCTTCATAGCAGAAAGGTGGTTGGTATGTGGTTCTCAAAGTAGTAACTCCTTTCCACAACATAAAGTCAAAAGTCAATGGTGGACAACAACAAAATTGGATTGGTTGATACCGGTACCCGAAAGCAGTTGGTTGAACAGAACACTGGTTTGGATGATGAGGTAAGGATGTTAAGGCAACACATGACGGACATGTATCAGGCTTGGATGACTGGGAAGGCACCACTCCCGCCACCACCTAGCCTCTTAGATGCTACCTTTACCCAAGCTCTGGTCATAGTGCCGGATGATCCCCCATACTCTCCAGATCCACCCGTTTATCACGGCTTTCCCAATCGTCCTAGTAGCTCCATCACTCATCCTCCAATTACCTCTCCCCAAAATTGCCCTCCTGTCATATCCACTATTCCCAACAATTAATATCCATTCAAAGCTCATGATACCTAATACTACCCCGCAGAGGTTGCCCACAAGGTTCCTGACTCATACAAGAAGAGCCCTCAGGATGAGCTTCATACTGAACATGAAAAGGTCACGGGAAAAGAAGGGCGAGACGAGATATCCAGGAAACTGAAAAGCATAAAACATTCCTTAAAAAATATGAAAGGGATGGGAGACCAGGTTAGCATGTCTGACAAAGAGTTGTGTATGTTCCTGAACGTTCGCCTGCCCGCAGGGTTTAAAGTGCCAAAGTTTAACTTGTACGATGGGTGTGGAGATCCGGTAGCCCATTTGAGAGATTATTGCAGTAAAATGAGAGGTGTTGGCGAGAAAGTTGATTTGTTGATGGCGTATTTCAGTGAGAGCTTGACTGGGGCAGCTTTGGAATGGCATAATCATCAAGATGTCGGTAAGTGACATACATTAGGCAGCATGGCTCAAGATTTTGTGCGACTCTTTCAGTACAATATAGACATTGTCCCAGACCGCTCCTCCCTATCTCCGATGGAAAATAAACCCAAGGAAAGTTTTAGGGATTTTTGGCTTAGATGGAATGAACAAGTTTCTCGGGATAGTCCTCCCACTGATAGAAAAGATGTTGCTGAGCCCCGCCGACGATAGGGTCCAGTGGTCGTTCTTGCTAAATGCTTTTAGCCTCAATGTCGACCTTGTGGATATCCTTGTAATCCTCCCCACTGATACTTGTCTCCATAGAAACCCCAAAATCGCACATCACTTCCCCGATACCCCGTCCACAATGCACCACCATATGCTCCATATCCTCGAGGCCCGGGATAGCCCGCACCACTTCCACAAATGTCTCACCCGCCCCCTAAGGCATATCAACCACCTGCCCGCAAAAGGTTCCACCCGAGGCCAGCATATAAAATGAAAAGACTACTGAAAAAGGAAAATGCTTTCACCCCTATTGGAGAATCGTATGCCAGTCTGTTCCAAAGGTTGAGGCAATTGGACATGTTGAAGCTGATTCAGATAAAAAGGCCAAACCCTCTTCCAAAGAAGTTTGATTTTTCTCAAAGGTGCGCATATTGCTCAGATGCCGCGGGGAATGATATAGAAAAGTGTTGGCATCTGAAAGGAGCAGTCCAGAAGCTTATTGATGTAGGTGACATTCCCGTGCAAAATCCAAATGCAGCAGATACCATCCAAAGTCCATTGCCTGAGATGCATATGGAGGACATGATTCGTGTGGAAAAGGAATATGAGAACTATTCTGAGATCCTCGGAGGGCCAGTTGCCGCAAAGCTTTCAGCGCTATCACTCTTGGTTCCGAAAGTTGATCATAAGAATGAGCAAGCCAAAGGGACCCAAAAGCAATTTGCTAAAGACAATGAGAGGAAGACTTGTGAAGGTTCCAGCAATGTTGATGTTGAACTCAGTGGCTAAGATGCAGAGCTTGGTAATTGGAAAGACACTCCTCTTTTGGCTAGCTAGGGTGGAGTCTTGGCGGTTTATTTTGTTGATTTCTGTTGTCCGGGTTATTTTCAGGGTTGTAATCAGGATATTGTCTTGTGACTCAAACCCTTCTATCCTTTTATTTTGCCTAGTTTGTTTAGTCGCAGTAGCTCGTTTAGTGTTGTCTAGGTTTGTTCCAAGGTTGTAACCCCAATTTAGTTTGCTTATTTTGTTGTTCAAACCCTTTCATCATCTGTCTAATGCAATTTTCTGTTATTTCTAGTCATTTTTGTTTAGTTCTCTTTTCTTTTTATAGTCCTTTTCCTATTGACTCTAGTGACATGACATGCACGCGTAACTCTCAGCCTGGTTTAAAAAAGTTAGTTTAATCGTGAAGCAATTTGGGAGATGATATGGATATCTGAGGAAATAAGTGAAGGGATTTGAGTTCACAAAGACCGAATTGTGTGAAACGGGGGCAGATAGAACATAAAGAAGTACAATTGAAACGTATCCGTTCACATCGGGCTGAAGCAAAAGGCAAGTTCGCCCCAAATTGGCAGAGGCCGTTCATCGTAACAAGAGTGTTGTCCAATAGTGCTTTATATTTAACAGATATAGAAGGCAAGTGTGTAGAAAAGGTTATCAATTCTGATGTAGTCAAAAGATATTATGTATGATTTCCTTGGTTAAATTGTGTTTGTCTGTACTTGGCATGTTTTGAAGATTGGAATTACAAAGGCATTTTGTTCTGCTATCTAAAAACTTTATCATTTGTTACCCTTTTGTGCCTTATTTATTTCCTTTCATACCCTTCTTTTAGAATCAATAGTAAAGTTCAGAAACGCAAGCGCGAAAGATAAGTAAAGGAAAAAGAAAAAAGGAAAAAAAGAGAATATAAAAAAAACAACAAAAAGAGAAAAAGGAAGAAGAAAAGAAGAGAAAGAAAAGAAAAAGAAAAGAAAAAGAAAAGAAAAAGAAAAGAGAAAATCATAACAAAAAAGCAATTTCTATGTCATGAACTACGTTCGACCTGATTCCTTTTAAGGATACGTAGGCAGCCTCACGGCTCGATCCCATCAAAATAAAAATTCAAAAGTCCCCAGGAAAAGGGACTGAGGCAGAAGTTATGGTTGTTGTAAGAAATCTGATTCCGAAAGTTGTAATTTTGAACCCATTTGAATTGTTTTGAGCCTTTTTGATACCCTTTCTTTCTAACCCTATCCAAAAGCCCACATTACGATCCAAAGAAAGACCTTCCGACCAGTCTTCGAGAGATGCCAAGTCGAGCAAGTAGAGGTGATTCATATCAGGGGAAACACTCTGTTCTGAACACAAAGAAGAACAAAATGAGAGTCTTATTGGTGAAAACCTTCACAAGCACCATAAGGCGACGGTGAGTTGAGAGAAAGAACAAAATAAGAGAGACTTGATGGTGAAAACCCTTCGGGAACTACAAGTCAAATAAGGATCATGAATCAGATTGGATAATCGGAGCATTGAAGCCTAGTTTCACAGTTTAAGGGTATAACAAGAGTTGAACATCAGACTTGCATTGACAGAATAGGCCAGAGGTGCATTTCATGGTCATTAGAGTTGGTATTCACATTTGATAGGTTCCTACTTTGTAGTTTTCTTGTTAGGAATCATCTTTTTCCATTTTCCTTTACTCTGTTCCTTTTGTCTTGTTTACTTCCTATTCTTGAGTCTGTTTGGTCAGAACAAGTGAGAAATGACTTCAAAATTTACCACCAGCTTTCCAAATTGCACAAAACGGGATTTGGCTAGCATATCAAAGTGGCATAAGTCAGGAAAGAACAACGTGCACACTGAGTTGGTAACAATCAACATGCTTTGGGGTTCATGTGAAAGACAAAGGTTTGGTATATATCAATTCATGAACAATGCAATAGATGGAGGGTTAGGGTGAACAGATCAAAGGTATTTTCTGTGATATGATCGACAAAGAAAGTGGTTAACCAATGACAAGCAAGGTCTTCCAAGCAGAAATCAAAGTTATCATGGCAAGTGATAGAGCAATAGACCTCAAGTCCAAGGCCAGTGATTTAAGTCGGGAAAGAACAGCATGCGCACTGGGTAGATGGCAATTGACGTGCTTTGGGATTCATGAGAAACACAAAGGTTTAGTACATATCAATGCAAAAGCACAATGCAATAGATGAATGGTATTGGGTTTGA